TCTATCTATCTATCTATCTATCTATCTATCTATCTATCTATCTGTCTGTCTGTCTGTCTGTCTGTCTGTCTGTCTGTCTGTCTTTCTATCAATATATCTATCTGTCTATCTATCTATCTATCTCTTTCTCCATTTATCTCACTGTCTCTTTCTGTGTATATGTTCTCTCACTCTTCTCTCTCTCTTTCTCTCTCTCTCTCTCTCTCTCTCTCTCTCTCTCTCTCTCTCTCTCTCTCTCTCTAATGTATGTTATATCTCTTCTCCTTCTTCCTTGTTCTCGATGACAGGAGCTAGACAGTGAGTCCGATGTCGTGCACAAACTGTGCAGTCCTCTTCAATTCTGAGAGACTGCCATAGAGCTTCCTCTCAAGCTTCGTCTGTGTACGAAGGGTGGCGTAGGGCGGGCAGTGCTGAAGAATATGGCTGGCATCCTCTTGGTCGTGTCCACATTCACAGATCGAGGACTCTCCCACTTTTAATTCAGTGTGCATATGGTGTTTGAGTCTGTTGTAGCCACAACGGAGTAGGAAAGATTGTGACCTGGTCAGCTCTATTTAGCATGTAGATCTAGTAGGAGTCACGTCTGTTGTGATTATGGTGGGATCTTTTCCATCTGTTTCTTATGGCAGATTTTATTAACGTTTTTGACTCTGAAAGATCCATGCCATCATCAATCTGGGTCATTTTGGCTCCGTCTTTGGCTAAGTCGTCTGCTTTTTCATTCCCATGAATGCCACAGTGACCTGGTATCCACTGTAGATTTGTGTTGGCTTGGGAGTTTACATCACATGTGTTTTATGATCCCCTTTGCCACAATTTAGATTATTCAGGGGGTGAGCGTCGACCATGGGCTGGGAGGGACAGATCGTCAAAAAAATACCGAGATATTCCTTTAAAATTCTACCCACACGAGAATCGAACCCATTTCTTCTTTCTGCAACGCTCTATCCGATACACCGCAAACGCTGGTGAGCTCTCTTTATAAATAGACCCAATTCCTCATCACTGCCTTCCTCACCCTGCATCAGGATATAGGCCACGAACAAGCACTTACCACCTTCCCTCTCCTGGGCCAGTTTGTTGTTGTATATTAAACTATTTATTATTCCATGTCTCTCCACTTTTCTGTGCATCATTTTCTTTGACCTAGACCCAATATCCAGGCATAAATTAATGTCTTTTCTTTTCATATATTATTATCTCGGTGATTGGGAGGTATTTTTAGTCGATATTACTTCATTTCTTCTTCTGCTCTCTCTCTCTCTCTCTCTCTCTCTCTCTCTCTCTCTCTCTCTCTCTCTCTCTCTCTCTCTCTCTCTCTCCAGTGGCTTTTAACACTGTCTAAAATACCTACCTACTTACCTGCCTACCTACCTAGCCACCTACCTACCTACCAGTCTTTGTACCTGCAGCAGTCAGTTCATCCAAAGAAGGCCAAATCCTGGCCGAAGATCACCTCCCATCAACTTGGCAGGAGGAGTCAAACCCGGGCTCTCTGGTTGTGTGGCAAGCGTCACTTGGAGGAGCGGCGGGACTCCTGCTTCTTGTTATTCTGGTCTTGGTTTTTTTCGTTGTCCGACAAGGAAGGTGAGTAGCGCAGGGGAACGGTTCATTAGTAAAACAGGTAAACGACTCGCGGGTAGGAACGGTAAACAACTGTTTAACAGTCAGCCTTATGCAGTTGCGAGCGCCGTGAAACTCTTATAAGGGGTGCCCACATACGCAATCGGGTCGGGTCGGGTCGATTTGTTAGTCGGGGCTAGCCAAATTGAGGGCACAAAGCGGCCATCGTGGCACAAACTGGTCGACTCGGTCGGTGACCTGCAAAAACAAACGCATTTGATTTCAGGCCTGCGAGTCGCGCGATGAGGTGGTTTTCAGCAAATCACAACAAGGCTGAGTCACATGTACATGTTGACATTCAAAATCAGTGGCGCCTTCTTCGAAAAAGTGCGGACTTTGTGAGCAGAGTTACCCTACTTGTGTGAAAAACAATAAAAGGGAAACTAACAAACTGCTATTCCTGTTCTTCTTCTGGACTGGGGCCACGAACGAGAGCTTCAAAATAAGACTACAGCCTCATCTGAACCAATGAGCGGACTTCCACGGAGACTTTTTTGACCGAGTGAACTATCTTGTTGTGAATTATCTTTGCTAAGAGAAAGTTATCAATGTAACTATTGCAACCTATGTTTATGGGATTGCAGGCTGCCGCAGCATTGCAACAGGGAACTGCGGAAAGGAGCCCTGGAAGCCATTTAGGTTAAAGGTTTCTCTACGTTAACTTCCAGGTCGTCGGGTACTATCGAGGCGAGGTTGTAACTTGTAGTGTCCACTGAAACCTTCAGAAAACGACCCGACCCGACGACCCGATTCCCTCACGCTAGTGGGCACCCCCTATAACTAAACGAAACAAAAAGGTAAAAAAAACTTGTAGATAGGAAAAGTAAACAAAGAAGAACACGACTTGTGGATAGGAAAGGTACGACTGTTAAACAGAAAAGGTGAACGAATTGTGGGTAAGAAAAGGTAAACGATTTGTGGACAGGAGAGGTGAACGATAGGATTTAAGTTGGACAGGTAGGTAAACAATGTGTGGGTGCGACAGGTAAACGATATTATGTGAGTACATGTAGTACAGTTAAACGATATGTGGGTAGTACAGGTAAGCGATATGTGGGTAGTACAGGTAAACGATATGTGGGTAGTACAGGTAAACGATATGTGGGTAGTACAGGTAAACGATATGTGGGTAGTACAGGTGAGCAATATTATGTGGGTAGGACAGGTAAACGATATTATGTGGGTAGAACAGATAAAGATATTATGTAAGTTGGACAGGCAAACGATATGATGTAAGTTGGACATTATTGTGTGGGTAGAACAGGTAAAAGATATTATGTGGGTAGGCCAGGTAAACAGTCTCTAGTTATTACTTATTTTGGTAGAATAACATTGTTTTTCTACGAATGGAGAGTTTATGACGCAAGGCAGTGAAAGCTGAAAGGAAGCTGCCGGGCAGAAGCCTCCACTATCATCCAAGTCCAAGTCTCTTAGGATCGGATCGTGGGTGGAACCTTAGGAACCTTTATGGGGCTGGAAAAACTGAACAGGTCCTTCAAGAGATGCACCGATACCGACTACATATGCTGGGAATAGGCGAAACCCACTTGAACCAGTCTGAACAGAAACATAATATGAAAGGGGGGGGCTTTTCATTTATTAGGGAAATGAAAGTGATGGACCACACAGGGAATGAGTAAGGAAAAACATATCCAAAACATCTCAAAAGACATTCAGGGGCTGGGAAGCGCACGGCCCAAGGATCGTCATGGCCTCATTTGGAACAAAGAAAGAACTCAAGGGAAGAGATGGTAGTAAGAAGGTCATAGACATGAACATCATACAAGTGTATGCCCCAACTAATGATGCAGAAAAGGAGAATGAAGATGACTTCTACGACCGCCTGCAGAGTGTGATCGACAAACGTCCAGGTAAGGACATCGACATTGTCATGGAGGACCTAAATGCAAAGGTAGGTTCGGACAATAGTAATTGTGAGCAAATGGGCAGACATGGATTAGGAGAGGCAAATGACTACGGAGAAAGATTCCAGAACTTCTGTGCATTCAACAACTTGGTTATTGGATGAACAATCTTCCCACATAAAAGGATTCATAAGGCCACTTGTGTCTCCTCAGATGGAGCAACAGAAAACCAGATTGACCAATTTTGCATCTCCCGAAAGTTTAGACGTTCACTAGAGGACGTCCAAGTCTTACGAGAAGCAGACATCGCATCAGACCACCATTTGATCCTTGGAAAGATAAAACTGAAACTGAGAAGGTGTGCAAAAGTCACATCTGGAAGTCGTCAAAAGTATGAAGTCAGCCTTCTGAAAGACCCGCTCAGCAAAGAAGAATGAATTCAAATTGGAACTGAAGAACAGATTTCAAGCCCTTCAAGATCTGGATAAATGTGAAGTAAACGAACACCGGAACAAGATAAAAAGCGGCAGTAAATGCAATGTGCCAGAACACCCTAGGACCCAAAATCAGGACCAGGAATGAATGGATTTCACATGACTCTTGAGAAAGTCAAAAGAAGAAGAGAGCTGAAGGCCCAAGTCAACAACAGCCGTACCCGAACTGAGAAACTCGCTGCACAACAATAGTAAACCGGGAGGTACAGAATTCCATCAAGAGAGACAAGAATACCTACCTGAATGGCCTGGCCGAAAAAGCAGAGAAAGCAGCAACAGACGGACACTTGCGGATTGGACACCAGACAACAAAAACTCTTTCAGGTAGGTTCAGCAAGCCCGCTCTACCAGTGAAAGACAAAGAGGGAAAGACTATATTCGACCCAGAGGGGCAACTCAACCGATGGAGAGAGCACTTTGATCAACTCTTGAATAGAACACCTCCAGAAAAAAAACAGAAATTCTTCCAGCCAGAAATGACCTCCCAATAGTTACGGAGCCACCTTCGAGAGAGGAGATTGCTGCAGCTATAACATCACTGAAGTCCAACAAGGCAGCTGGTCCCGACCATATACCACCGGAACCACGTAAGGCAGATAAAGATACGAGTACATCAGTAGAAATTCTCTATGCTCTACATTATTCGAAAAGGTTTGGCAAGAGGAGGAAACATCAACAGACTGGAAGGAAAGCCACCTAATCAAGCTGCCAAAGAAGGGAGACTTCAGTAATTATAAATCTACAAAGGCATAACTCTCCTGTCCATATCTGGGAAAGTCTTTGACAGGATACTCCTGGAGAGAATCAAGCTGGCAACGGACGAGAAACTCCGAAGAAACCAGGCAGGATTCCGCAAGAACCGATCATGTGTTGACCAGATCGCTGCTCTGCACGTCATTGTTGAGTAATAGCTTGAATGGAATTCGCTACTCGTGGTCAACTTCATCGATTATGAAAAGGCATTTGACAGCGTGGACAGGGAAACTCTGTGGAAACTCATGCGGAATTTTGGAATACCTGAGAAAATCGTCAACCTTGTGAAGGCCACATATGACGGAAGAAGCAGACAAGTCTTCCACGAAGGACAACTCTCAGAACCATTCCAGGTACAGAATGGAGTGCGACAAGGATGCTTGCTCTCACCTTTCTCTTCATACTGGCAATTGACTGGGTTATGAAAGAAGCCACCAGAAGCAAACACAATGGAATACAGTGGATCCCTTCGCAGCAGCTGGACGACTTGGACTTCGCCGATGACCTTGTGCACTGCTCTCTCACACGCATACTCAGATGCAAGAAAAAAAGAAGGCGCTCAACAGCCTATCAAGGAGTGTTGGCCTACGTATACATCCGGGCAAATCAAAATCAAAAGTATTAAAGCTAAGAAAAGTTTCAAGCCCTTCTGTGACAGTGGAAGACACTCCCCTGGAAGACGCGGACTCTTTTACCTACCTTGGAAGTGTCATCGATGGTAAAGGTGGAACCGAGGCAGATGTTAAAGCACGAACCGCCAAGGCAAAGTCAGCATTCAATCAGTTATCAAAAGTCTGGAAAGCAAACAACATCTCACTGCGCTCCAAGTTTCGACCCTTTAATTCCAATGTCAAGTCTGTGCTCCTCTACGGCTGCAAAACATAGAAGACAACAAAGACAATACTGGATGAAGTCCAGGCGTTCATCAACAAATGTATGAGGAGTACCCTAAGAATTAAGTGGCAGGATAGAATAAAAAATGAAGATCTGTAGGAAAGGACAGAATAAAACGATATAGGAGTGGAAATAGAATTAAGAAAATGGCGATGGAAGGGACACACATTCAGAAAGCCCAGCGGAAATATCACAAGACAGTCGCTACAATGGAACCCACAGAGAGCACGAGGCTGGGGTAGGCCACGGGAAACATGGAGGAGATGTGTGGAAAGGGACATGAGAGAAATGAAGCTCACTTGGAACGAGCTTGGAAGGATGGCCCAGGACAGAAATAAATAGAAGGAGCTTGTATGTGGCCTATACCCTGCCAGGGGTGAAAGGCATTGATGATGATGAATATTGTTTTGAAAATGACCGCTTTCTACAGGGAACGCATGAAAGCACTGTCCTACATAATTATTATATTTTACTTTCTTGCGACATGTAGAAAATGAAATGTTTGGGACTACGACGTAAGCTCATATGTGGCGTCGATAGTCTAGTGGGTAGTCCACGCGTAATCTTGAGGTTGCGGGTTCGGGAGTTCGAGCCGCGGGCCGACGTTGTGTCCTTCGGAAAGGCACTTTACACGAAATTCCCCTAAGGTCCTTGGTACCCGACTAAAGACAGCGAAAGATCGCGTCAGTATGTTAGAGTATAACCTCCTATAAACGGCTGCATACACTGTATACTTCCTTGGAAGTTGAGATTGTTTCAGAATGCTATCATGTCTGCTGGGGTGGTAATAGGCCCTATAGATTGTAAAGAGCATAGAGCTTGCTTTTTGCTGTTTTGCGGGAATTTGCGCTATGCAAATGCTATCTATAGTCTACAATTCACTATGATTATACTCGTATTTTAATAGACGCTGAGATCAGTGCGTGATTGTGGTTAGCACCCACAAATGAACATCCAGCTGTCTATTAGGTTTGATTCCTGTAATGTTCAGTTTGGCATTTTTATTTCTTGTGAAGCTCAGGAAGGAAAAAGATAAAGATTATTCCTTCAAGTTCAAACCTTTGCTTAAAACGCCGACATATACACGTTCTTTGTTTTGCAAAGTTCTGTGTCTAGCCAAATAAGAAATAAAATTTATTGATCGATGAAATGTCTTGATGCAATGACATGTGGTTAGTTAATTGTAATGTACTGTTCACTTTCTTCATTCCACTTTCTGTTGTTGTTGTTGTTGTTGTTGTTGTTATTCATCTTTTTCTTGTTTTGTTCTTGTTCTTGTTCTTGTTCTTGTTCTTGTTCTTTTTCTTCTTCTTCTTCTTCTTCTTCTTCTTCTTCTTCTTCTTCTTCTTCTTTTTCATCTTCTTCTAGCTTTTCCAGTTGTTGGGAGTTGCTTCTAGAACATTTCCACAATAAAAAAAACTCAGGCTCTTGCCATTCTTTCTGCATAAATTGCCCTTTCAGACTATGATAAGACACACATCGTATTTACATCATTATTATCATTATCATTGCTATTTTACGTTTTCTGTTCTTTCCATAAAATGTCCGCTCCACTGCAATATTGTTTTAAGTTATCAATATTGGTCAAAATCCAAACTAGTTGTACACAAACATGTGTCTAATACGGAACTTTATATTGGCTACACATTATCACTTAATCGTGTCTATATTTTCAGAATGATCAAAGACAACTACAGGTTTATAGCGCAAGAGATGAAAAGTCTAGGCCATGGGTATGTGAGCCCAGAACCTCCACCAACCGCTTTTTTGGTTGGTGGTTTCAGTGTAATTTATTCATTCTGCTTATATCTCCAACTTTATGTAGCGATTTTCTTTTCATATCACTTTGTATCCGTTTCACTGTCGCTTGCATAATTCTTTTTTTTTCCCCTTTCCCTGCCAAATCCTGTCAGATCGACGCATCATCTGATGAGTATAACTTCGTGCGCGTGATGTGTTGGCTATGGTCAACACACGGGTTCTGATCAGGGTTTTTTTGTATCAATATACTGATAATTTCTAGTCTAGTGACCCTTTCTAGTTACGAACTTCCTCCCTAGAAATTGTCCCAATTTTCAGCACGTTAGTAGTATGTTGAGGATAGTTATCAGAATCTTGTTATTAAGAACATCACAATGGTATTATATCATAGGCCTATACATAATTCAGGGTTTTTTTGTATCAATATACTGATAATTTCTAGTCTAGTGACCCTTTCTAGTTACGAACTTCCTCCCTAGAAATTGTCCCAATATTCAGCACGTTAGTAGTATGTTGAGGATAGTTATCAGAATCTTGTAATTAAGAACATCACAATGGTATTATATCATAGGCCTATACATAATATTCGTTGCACAAATCACAATAAACGACGGCAGAAGCCTTTAGCCTCCTAACTACACTGACAACCAAACCAAAAAGACGAGAACGTCTGAAGGATAAGTACAGTATAATCGAATCATAATAGTGTGTTGTTGTTGTTGTTGTTGTTGTTGTTGTTGTTGTTGTTGTTGTTGTTGTTGTTGTTGTTGTTGTTGCTTTTGCTGTTTTTTGAGGTGACGGTGGTGGGGTGGTTGTGTTGTTATAGCTGTTGTTGTTGTTATTGTTGTTGTCATTTGCGTACGCACTCGACAATAGCAAGACTAGTGATTTGCCTTTCATTTGCTCGCCCATTGTGTGCACGCTAGCGTAGTTTTTATAGAGAGTAAAGAGAAACAACTGTGACAGTGACCTTTCCAACCCCCCCCCCCCTTTTTTTGGGGTAAGTGTTTTACGGCACTCTCAACTGCCTACGGTCATATGAGCACGCGGGACACGACACATAAATAAAGCCCTTTTAATTTGATAAGATTTGATAAATTTAGTAGACTGTACGGTCGTAATTTTTTCATTACCTGATGCATTACTACACTCCTTGATCTCCTCCTACAGAGGTCATCAAGCAGAAAGGTCACCGTCCGACAGCCTGGGGCGAGCACCAACCACAGGTCAGACATCTGCCGCCGCCGCCTCTGGCCACCAGGAGTCAGCAAACGATGCGTCATCAACTACAACAGTTTCCGCCAACGCTTCCTCTTCGACAACCGCTGCCCAAGCACACCAGAGCGATCTCTTCTCCATCTCTAGAACCATCCAGGCAATTCCACGTAGCCAGGGGCACGCCTCAAGGAGTGCTCATCACGTGACCAGTAACAACAACAACAACAACAACAACAACAACAAAAATATCGTCAACGTCGGCTCTGTCTACCCGATACACTTGCGCCTGCGCAGTTTGAGTGCCGCGGCAGAAGCAGCTAGACTGAGGGGGCGTGCCGCTTTGTACATGCTCAATAACAAGAACAACAACAACAACGACAACGACGACGACGACGACGAAAAAGGTGATAACAACAACGTCACTGAGTCTGCAGTTATTGCAAAGACGAAGAAACAAGTTCATGTTGCTGCTGCAGGTGGTGGTGGAGGTGGTGGTGGAGGTGGTAGTAGTGCCAGCAAAAACCGCAGCTCTCACAACGAATCAACGTCTGCAAAGTCATTAACAACACCACCACCAACAGCAACAAAAACAAATCGAGCGGTTGGACAAAATTTGAAACCGGACAACAAGAACGAAACAAAACAAAGCGATGCCCCGAGAACGGGGTCATCGGCAGGTCACATGCGGAGAGAGTTTGACCTCGGCGAGTTTGCCATGTACAGGAACGATATAGTGTTCAAGCTGCGAGGCCTGGGTCTGCGCACAGGAAGAAGGAAAAAGAAACCGAGGAAGGAGGA